ATTTTTTCACATAGGAAAAACAATAATTTGACAAGTAAAACATGTATATGCGAAACTCAACTCTGTTACAACAAATTTAAACCCATCCCTTAACCCCTTCCGCTTGAACGATCAGTTGTATGTGTGCTTCAGCTGAGACCCAGTTTTGAGTGGTTACGATCTCGGTTACGATTTCGGGTAATAATGACGCATGGAGCTTCTCAGGGTGGGGGTGGGGTCATTTTTATTCAGAGTTTGCACCGAGCACTACGAGGGGCAATTCATTATTGCAAATAGCGTACGAGATTTTACCCAAAACAAAAGGATTTCTGGGGATTTTCAGATAAAACAATAGGATTTTCACAAAAGGTGTACGAGATTTTCTTGGAGTGATTTGCCCCTCGGAGCACTATGTCCTTCGCTAAGCTCCTAACAACGACCAAAGCAAGCCCTATAGCCTATTCCTTCTGCAGAATTTACTTTTCTTATCACTTTTTCTTGTCCAATTAAGCTATTTCAAAAGCGGAAAACTAGAAAGTTTTTTTATGTACCAAATATGTAGATGCCCTAGTGGGATGGACTGGTCTAAAGAAATCTGTAAAGTCATCTCCCTAGATTGAATACTTGAAAAGGCAATCTGAAGTTTTAAAACTGCTAGTTTGAACTGTACATCAGTTATTCGTCTTTTGTACTTTGCTTCCGTCACTGTTTTGTCACTGTAAACCAAATACCAACCCCGATGAAATGTCATGAGTTCAAACCACTCTCCATGTCACATATTTTCATCGCTGGAACCATAGCAGGTTTCCATCTCTGTTACGTTAATCAATACAGATTTCAAGGAAAGATTAATTCGCCAGTGTATGATTTCAATCATCATTGATTAACGTTCTGACGTGCTTTAATCAGGGATCCTATTTTCATCAAATCGACACATTTCTGTATGTATGTTGTGTGCAGAATAGACATTTAACTCTTTTACCCCCCTTTTACTATATCTATTGATCATCAGTTAGCACTCTTGTCTACTTGTCTACTTGGTCTGTAATGTTCTACTTGTCTTGTTCGCGAAAGGGGTTTTGAAAGCTTCAATGGGTTTGCAGTCCTTCCTAGAGTGTAAGTCAGAAATGTTTTTCCATATCTAAATTACGTTAGACTGCCGCCATAAAATAGCCTTTTTTCCGGTCAGATTCGCTGTCTTTTGCGTTATAGGTTCGCAAAAAAAAGATTGAGAGATTCTAATTATAATTCTGATTAAAGGCATTTCATTTATTTTTATTGCTATGAGAATATAGCTAATTACTCTCGATTACTCCAGTCTTAACCCATTGTTGTGTTTTGGAAGGTAGTTAAGGCACTATATACGACGAATTTTATTTGCCGTGAAGTAGATTGGTAGTGGGAAAGAGTGTAATAATTCGGATAGGATTAGCAAACTGCACCAACTTGGCAGGCATCGGCAGGGTTTCGAGTGTCTTATATGTTGAGTGTTCGCAAGTCCAGATAACGCCTTTGGTTATCAGTGGAGAAGTGAGTTCAGGGTTGAGTGGTTAGTTTATCTGACCCAGTCCTTAGCTTCACACGCAATGTATTGGCTGATCTGCTGAAGACTAGGACGCCGAAAACTGATTGAGCAGTTGATATGGGTATTTCCATTACGAGAGAACATAGAATCAAGCTGCTACTATCCAGCATTTCGATTCCTGGCTTATAATCACCAAATGCTAACGTTGTGGCAATGAATGATACCTGGGCGATGGCTAGAAACTTGCTTCTCAGAAATAAAGTTCTGGTGATTAGCTTAAGATGGATGAACATCCCGAGGCTTCTGCTGTCTCTGATTCATAAAAATCATCTTTCCTACACTTATTTGACAGAATTTTTTCCCATGCGTTTCCAATCTCTATCAATCAAGCCTCTTTTTATAGAAGCAATATGCATGATCATTGTCAAGTTTTTGAGACAAGATGTTCTTAAAACTAATTTAGGAATTCCGGTCAGACCATTTTCAGTTCTGTTGATAGATCTTAGGACAGATGTTTATTTAGTTCTGCTAAGCAAAACCGTCTTCATTTTATGCAGTTTTTTTGTCACTATCATTTTCATTTTGTTGTCGTCATCATGAGCATCCAAAACACTGTTCTTATCAAGATCGGGTTTCTATTTCCCAGGTTGGTGCCAAAACAAGGATCATAACCCCTGGATTGTGTAGCAAGATATATTTTTAGTAACTAATGACCCATTTTTCCTATTTCATCTTTGCCCCAAGGCTTCAAAAACAGTATATTTTAACACATATATTTGGCTTATATCAACAATATATTAAGTCGCTGATTTTGCCCTGTTATAAGGGAGGAGCATCGTGCGTGACCTGGCACGGCTGACGGTGGCTCTTTTGGTTTATCGCTTTACATCACATTTTGCTTATTTTTGCTCATCCTTCGGCTGACTTTGATATTCCTTACTTCCATATAATCTTCCTGATCTTTTGATCTGGCCTCGACACGTCTTTACTTTTTGTGTTATTTGAAGATGGTATGTGAAGACAAATGGTGCTGCTTGCCGAAGTGACCTCCCACAGAATAAATCATGGCGCAAAATCCTCAGATCAAAGCCGTTTGTTCCTATATGATGATTTGAAATGTTGTAATTGTTCTAAAGAATTTGCTTCTCTCTTTGCAAGTTTTACACCATTTCTTTTCGGAACTCTGTTGGTGCTAAATAAACTCAGTTGATGCTGTGCAGTTTCTAGAAGGCATTATTTCAGTAACGAATGTTACATAAATAAAATTTTTATGCTTCGACTAAATATTTGTCCTCTGGCACCAAAACCTAAAGTGAGCATGGTCCGAGTTTTAGTCTTGCTTTGCCTAACTTCTTCTGCGGAGGGCTCCGGCTTTTATAGACGATACTGTTTACTGTCCTGGCGCCTGGACATGAAATCTGTTGACAGTGCGTGAGTTGTTTTCTGATGTTGGTAATAAAATTTATAGTATCGAGTATCCTACGTAATTGATCAAAAGTTCCCGGCCATCAACAATCTTGTCATTGCAATGGTTTTTCCTGTCTTTGATAAAATCTTGCATCTTCGGCTGCGAGTTTGGATCTTATCCACTAAAAAATCTTTTCTCTTCTTTTCTGATGAGTCCCAGACCGCCAATGAACTCTTGAGAAGCCGCCTCCTTTTATCAGGTTACTGAAAATTCTCTACCCAAGTACAATTTTTCCGTTCAATTACTAATAACAGTGCTTTTCTTTGATTGAAATGGATCCCCAATCAAATCGAACCCCCAATTAAATCCCCAATTAAAACCAAGGGAAAATCACTCGATGAAAATCTCTCACAGGTCGGATATCTCACCAACTGTTTTATTTGAAAATTCCTGGAAGTCCTTTTGTTTTTCTGGAACCCTCGTATACTTTCTGCAAGAGTTCATTGTCTCTTGATTTTAACAGAGAATGCCTTTAGGAAACTGTTAAGTTTAGTTCTTAGAGCTGCCCAAACCGAAGAATAAAGCTGATAGTTCTTAATAGACAAGGAAGTCACGAAAGGCTATTTCAAATATTTTTACGTGGGCCGTAAATCCTGAGAGATTTTTGTGAAATACCTTGAAATGTGAGAATTTAGATAAATGTGCTACAAGTTGTCTGAGATTTTCACATGCATGTTATTTCCCCATCGAATCACTGTAATATGGTTGTGGTGAACTGGACCTTTCGAGTGTTTCTTAATAATACTTGCAAGTAGAACACGCTAGAAAAATTGACTAAAACAATTGTAGAAAATTCTAGAGTAAGCCTTGCGTAACCATCTGTAACTTGCTTATTCCAGATTGTATTCCTGCACACGTGATGTTGTACATTCTAGAAATTTCTTGTTAAACAGTATATAAGGGTAGAGTAGCTTGCTGTAGCAATTCGGGTTTTGGTTGAGAATCTCTTCTGAGAAACACGACGCATTGTTGATTTCTTTGGAGAAAAACTACGGTTCTAAGCTAGAAGAAACGTACCTTCTCATAGCGTTGAAAGAGACACACCTTGGTTGTGAATCTATTCAGTGTGTCACAGGGAATATACATTATATTACATTACACATTGGATTCCCCACATGGTCACTGTTCTAAAATGTGCTTTTTCAGTTCTGAACATGTTCACAGCATAGTGTCATTTCGTTTACTGTTATTCAAAGCTCTCTGTATTTCATCATCCCATTATGGATGCCTGGGTTTATTTTAAGCCCTGTAAATGGCCACCAAAGCGACGAATGACTCGTAAAACAGTCGTGACCATAGTCAGCTTTTCTGTTCCTGCTAGAGATTCGAGCGATTACCATAATTCACATTAAGTAAGGGGAGCTATCATTCGTGTTTAGGTCATTTAACCATACGACATTCACAAGTCATAAAAAGCGAAACGCTTAGAAAACTGGTCGTAAATTTTGTTTCAGCTTTTAAATCTTAACGTTTTTCCAAATTACCTACTCTTATGGGGAACAGCCGTCAAGTCTGCCCGTATGTTGAAGCCTTTGGGCATGGTTTTTAATTGGTTCTTAAATATTTGGCTTTTATAACGTTTCTTATATGTGTGTATTTCCTTCACTGCGTCTCTCAGTAAAAGCTCTTTATGATACCTCCGTTATCAGAAGTGCTTCCGTACCTTTTTCGGACAACGTTTATCATACTTTCCTGTCTTTGACCAGAATTTCTAAAAAAGATTGATCCAGAAACATAATTTTTCTATTAAGAAGATTAATTTCAAAGATTATATTTAAAGATTTGTATTAAGAAGATTATAAAGATAATATTCAAATATTTTGCGCTATCAAAGAATTCTACCACCAAACGTTATGAAAACTCGTGCAAGACCTCATCATTTATTCTTGCTGCAAGCGGACTCCGAGAAAGTTTCCACCATCGCTTTAGATTTTGTTGCTTTATGCCGTAGTGTTAATTCGCTTAGCCTCTAGATCGACAATACTTATTACATCTTGTAGAAATGACAACGGATCCCCCTTTTTACAGGCTACCTTGACAATCCAGATGGCTCCATTGGACTTGGCCTAACCATTGAAACTGACATGTTAACCGTTGTCAAAGCCATGGCTTCAAGTGATTCCGGATTGGATGTCAGGGACAGAATGTGGCTGAAAATAACGATTCCTAAAGCGTTTATAGGTATGTTCTTTAGTTACGTGTTTACATTTTTCTTCTTCCTTAATGGTTAGAATAGTTTAACAAAGCTTGTCTTTCAGCCTTTAGCTCTTTCATGCCTTTAAAGCCCCATCGTCGTGCATAAGTCATCAGAATTTTGTTAATATTATTTGAAAATCTTTGAATGCACCTTGTAAAATGTTTTTTTTATTTTGTTTGCGTTGATTGTGATTTTTACGGTTTCCTACAACCCAAAAGGACTGTCCTTGTGATAGAAACAAGACAGTAACTTAACTAACAGTCTCCCCCCTTAGAGTTGGGGATCCATGTTCATTTATTTTGTTTATATGCTTTTTCTCTTGTCAAAAACCCATTATATGAAAATCCATTATATTTTTTGGTTTTTATCAAAATCTTTTGATTTGTTTTCGTTGGATTTTTCTGTTGTTTTTTAACTAAAAATTGAGCTTTTCATTTTCGTAATCATTGTAGTCTTTCATGTTGCCTAGACCTTGACTGAATTTCGTTGCTTTTTTATCTATGTTCCACCTAGGGCCAAGACTTTATATCCATGTTCCTGTTATTATTGTCGTTTACCGTCGTCCCCGTTTGCTAGTTTATAGAGCTGCAATTTTTGTGAAGATGTCATGTTTACTACCATTTCAACAAATGCTTTTGAATCCCCTTTTTGTCACTGGAATTACAATGGCTACTTATTATATGTGTTTCTTTTATCTATAAAAAACCACTTAAATTCACTCAAAAAGGGGTAGCCTCTGGATGTGACCTAGGGATAAATGTCGCAACTATATTCAGCATCAACGTACAAAGTCATACTTTAATTATATCAATTTGTACTAATTTTTGCAGCATATTACAGAGAACAATTTCTGCTGCATATTCCAGAGACAATTGGAAAGACTACAGACATATCTGAGTGGACTGAAGAATCTCTACAATAAACAGTTTCCACAATAACCATATCCAAACTAAAAGAAACCCTGCAAAGCGTTAATAGTGCAATGTATGTTATGCACATTAACCATATATATTCATAGTTGATATTTTGATTACCTCATCTGTTTCTAATTTAGGTGCTGACTTAGTCGATTGGTTATACACACATTTAGAAGGATTCCAAGATAGACGAGATGCCCGTAAATATGCTTCGAAATTACTCAAGGTATGATTCCTGAACTTGATTTGATCTTGTCTGTAATGATATTAACATTTTCAACATTGCCATTCCATTTTTACCAATTTATTGCTTCCTCTTCTATCAAAGTTGCATTGCCTTTAGTTAAAGGTTACAAACGAGAAATCATATTTGAAAATGGTTGAACAATATGTTTTTTGCCCAAGTATGATTTGGTAGATTGTATGAAAAAGGGAACTACATTCCCTTAAACGCTTTTTAACATATAAACAGTGTTTTGATTGGTTGTAAATCACGTCCAAAACTTCAAGCTTGGATTGTCTCAAGAAAGGCCTATGCTTATCGGTACCACTCACCCTCAAATCTGTTCTGCTTTTGGCCTTGTATCTTTACGTTGAATGCAATGGGAGTTTTGCTACCCGATGTTTCTGATCTTACTGATGTGTCTATGTTCCTCCTATCCAGGCACGATTGATTCGACACACGGTGAACAAAATAACGTTCTCTGAGCAGTGTTATTACGTTTTTGGTGATCTTTGCGGAAGTAAGTTGGTTGAATCATTTATAACTTCGTATTCTTAAAGTATTGCTGTATGATTTTTGTGCTTTAATCCCCCTCTTGCGAATGCTGTACAAATAATTGCATGGATATAGATGTGAACAAAAGTATCATAGCTTAAATACGTTAAAATGTATTTAAAATTCGTGTTACACAGGTATCCCTTATTCATCCTATAAAAGATCAAACTTAGGCAAAATGTTTATTGAACTGTCTGTATATTCATAATTCGTACTTTTGTTGCAAAAATTTTGGCTATCCAAGATCAAATTTAGGTCATGTATAAACAATGTTTGAAATATTTTAAGTAAAAATGTTAGATTTTTAGAGTAAGTGGACTCTTTTCAGTCGGTTTAATGTATGAAGCTTAAGAATCTCTGGTCACGTGACCTTAAAAGTCATTCGACACAGGTAAAAGTGGCTGGCAGCCACTCGGCCACGAGCGGTTGCCCAATCAAATTGCACACAGAGAAAAACACGGGAACAGTTTCCTCCTTTCTGCAAATCGGTGAAATCCTAGAGCAGCGCGCAGTGGTTTCACGTGAGCGGTTTCAATACCTTTCTTGTGCACGTGCTCTAATCAATTTGGCCCAAGTTAATTTTGGATTCGCTGTACTTATGCATGTCAAATGCCTAGCGACTGCTCGTTGTGTTTTACTTGCAATGAAAATGTTGTACGCGATTTGGATGTTTCATTGTATATTCACGTGAATTGATTTACGAGGAAGCAATATTTATGATTAATAAAGCAATACTCAATAATGATGGAATTGTGAAGGGAGAAGTTTGGGTCTCAGTTTCGTGTATTGAGCTTTTGTTTGTTTTATATACATAGATGTTAATGTGTAAACGATGTTTTTCAGACTTGACATCACTGACACTGAATGACATCGACGGAAGCGACGATCAAGACACCTTGGCTCCACTTGCATCCTTACCCGGTGGCTCCAGCCAAATCGGTTGGATCGGAATGCCACAGCCAATGCCAGGCGGCTCCCAGGTAGGCCAGATCTACCCACAAATGCCACCACCGCCCAGTTATTCACAGGTCCAGCAAGGCTACGGCATGCCAACTGACTTGCAATACGCTCAGTATGCCCAGTTTATGGTTCAACAACAAGGAGTAGCTATGATACCATCTTCAGCTCAAAGTGTCAGCAGTGGCAGTGGCTCGCAAAGAAGTGGCTCTCAGAAGAGTGCTTCACATAAGGAGATGGACCGGGAGACCGTGCGCAGCAGTGGCTCATCGGAAAGGAGTGCAGCCAGTAGCAGGCTAGAGAAACCGGACGACAAGGATCGTATCAGCTTACGGGACGATATTAGTGTAAGCGGAAGTGAAATGGGTAGAGACTTGGCCTCTGTACCGTCGAGTATTAGCGGAAGCAGGCAGAGTTTTCGCATGGCAATGGTCAACCCAATGAATGAGTTTTTCGTTGACGTCATGTAGTGCATTTTCAAGGTATTTTGACTTGACAGGGCAGGATTCCGAGTGGATGACAAGCATTCTGAATTTTAAAAAGAGGTTTCGTTTATGCCTTATGTGTCGAATTCGGATGTTGCCGCTTTTTACGAAAACAATCTCATCTTCCGTTTGAGGTACTTCATGAATGACCCGTAAATATTATTCAAGACTTAATGCTTGGACAATAACACAATGTTTCGCTCCAGGCTTCAAAAGGGCAATATGTTCGAATATTGTGTGATGCGATGATTTCCTAAATCATAATTGCGGCCTACAGGAAAGATATTTATTTTACAGAAATGTTTTGTTATCTGCTGCTGGCTTTGTGGAGTCAAGAAAAAAGACATTCGTAACAACATGAATACGGGGCAAACTATGATGATGGAAAAGAAGAATGTTCGGATGTTTTTGCCCGGACAGTTTTTCTTCCCGGACAATGGCCTACTTACCGGATAGTCTTTTTTACCGGGCAGTCGTTTTCTCCTCGTATTCTTTTTGCAATGATGAACCAGGAACAGTTGAAGGACGTCCAAGGGAGATAAAAATTTATATTCGCAGTTTTATCAACTTGAGCCTTAATTCTTCTAAGATGAATTTTTGGAGGACGTGGCCATAAACCTGCAACATCTTCGTTTTCTGTCATCCACTGGTTTTTATTTATGCCATTTTTGTTGTCAGTTAGTGCGTTCTCATCAAGCAATACCCGATGGTGGCTGTTTGGACTTGCATTTGCATATATTTAAGTTTTTTACTAGGTATAATTATGAATTTATTTTTGTCAATAATGAAGTATTTTTGTTTCATGTTTTTGATGTAACATCGCATGACTTGTTTTTGCGTGTTTCATTCATTTCCATCAGAATACTTTTCCTTCATTTTCAGCTCTAGTTTCATTTTCTCCTCATACTGGTAAAGATCTTTCATAGATTTTAGCTAGAATTTATCGAACCACTGGCTTCTTTCCAAAAGTTCTCGCAACCCAATCCTTAGAAATATGTCTATAAATGGATTTGAACTTTCCATAGTCTAACAAAATTGTATCTAAGATTGTATGGGAATTCTAATAATATAGGTTTATAATCTCTAACCGCCTGTCTCCTAAAGATATTGAATTAAAATAGACTCCAACCCTACTTTAATCTGTTATGTACTCCTGTTATCAATTCGCCATTTTTGATCATTTGCTCTTCCGCTGAAAACGTACTTTCTTGTTGTTAATTTTTATAATATGTACTATAGCGTGTTGTCGATTTAAAGTGAGCTAACCTAGCAGAACAAAATAAACTAGAAAAAATGTTAAAAATATATTGTCAATTTTGCGAATAGTTGTCAGCTGATCAACAGGAACTGATTTTTTTATGTTTTAATTAAATAAATGCGTCATCTACGCGAGGAAAATTATGTCGTCTTTCCTTATGCCAATTTTCCTTTAGACAATGAGATTTGTATCATCTGTCATTTGGAATGACGTCATTGCTTACTAGATCTAATTGGGGGAGGAGTGGGGTGGGGTAGAGTTGGGTCTGATACTTTTAAATTGCTGAATTTAAGGTTTGATTCAAGATCCAGCTTGATTACATTTCAATATTTCCACCAAATAATACTAATTGGTAGAACGTAATACTTTTGTATTTGTTTGTTTCTACCTAGCATCCGAAGGTAGTTATTTAGGACACTGAGAAGCTGATGCTTATCGAGCAATGTCCTGGTCCTTCCTCTCGATGTGACCGCACCTCGTGATTCCTATGCCTGGAATTACAAAGAGCTAACGATTCTCCCCACTCTGGGTGAAAGTTTGGTCATGCCAGAGACTCGAACCACTGGCCCTTGGGTCTTTAGTCAGCGCCTCTAACAACTGAGCCATCCGTAGTCAGCGCCTCTAACAACTGAGCCATCCGTAGTCAGCGCCTCAAACAACATGAACGAAGTACTAACTAACAGAACGAAATGCAAGATAGAGTTTGTTCGTTAACTTATATAAGACTGATAAAAGTATATGATAACAAATTCCATGCTGATTTGATTGTAAGGGTTGTTTTTCAGACTTAATTGTTGATCTTTTTTAATTACAGGCTTGTAGGCCAAAATGGCCCAACGCCATCACAATTAATATACTTGCAAGTTAACATAATTTCCATATGAATCTCAGAATACAGCAACAGCTAATACAAAGATGAACAAATATAAAAATGATTATAAGCTGTACAAGTAATGTTACGAAGATATGCACACAGAGGACTTCCCAAAAGATTCTCGTGATGTAAATGCCAGCGATATAAGATTGGCTATAAATATCAGCAAGATAAAATAAAGAGCTTTATCTTGATATGAGATAATCCATATCATCTTGGCTCAACAACCAGATAAACTTATCACAAAGATCAAGGGATGAGAATTTTGAATAACTCGTAGATAACATAGCATTCCTAGCAGTCTCGTATTTGTCCTCCCTCTTTAACCCTTGCCTATACACCAGGGGAATCGCGAAAGCCCCTCCTCCAAAGCACCAAAGCCCTATGATTTGAGATCTCTGAAATGCGATGCGCAGCTAACGTTCTTCGTGACGTTGTGGCCTTCACAGAGAGGGCCCGGTAAAAAAGAAGCAGCTTTTGATGAAGCAGCTATCGATGAAGCAGCCATAGGTTTAATTGTAGTTATTTACAAACCAAGCATGTTTCTTGTATAGATGTGTTATATCAAACACGTTTTAAACGAACATGTTTTCATGAAAGAATTTGAGGCGAGGGGAGAAAGGCAGTATTTTTCCACGATTCATAGAAAAAATATTTTTGAATATGTATAATTTGCAGAAGTGGTTGTCAAAGATTTAACAAGTTTTGAAGAAGATATTTAAAAAGGACTGTAAACTGCTGCTCGGTTCACGTACTCAAAAGTATTAAGAGTCTTGGAGTCTGGTGCTACCCCCTGACGCCTATATGTATAATGTTTAACACTGTACTGCATATTCATTCTGTGATATTACTAGTTGTGTAAACACCAATACAGACTCTTTTGTTGAGTTGTTCCTAACATTTTTCAGGCAAAGACACTAAAAGTACGACCCTATCCCTAGAAATAAATTATTCTATAAATTTAGGAGATCTTTGAAATTGGATCGAATTTGAAATTGAAACTGGTCATAAATTGATGTGTTTCTGTCGTCTGCTTTATATCTTTAAAAATATTATCTCTTATTAAATGCAATCAGTTTTTGGTTTCTTCGAAAAGAGAAGACTCAGGATTTACGCAATTTCTTACTGCAACAATTTGATATAATGATTAATTTGATGGAAAAGTTTTCTCGAAAATCTGATTTGGTTAACAGAAACCGATGTTGCCGAGTTCAGTAAAACGTTAATGAGATTAAGAACACTCAATTGCACCTAGCGAGGTAGAATTTATAAATTAACAAGAACTAAATTCGAAATTAATTCTTAGTTATATCATCTTATCTATCCTTAATTCAGGAAGCTATGATTCGCTTTTTTATAAACCAATTAAATTAAAATGCAGACATATTACATAAATATACTGTAAAACAATATCTACTTTGCAACTTAGATACGATGAATGACTACATTTGGGATAAAGCAAGCGAAGTATTAATGAAAATTTATGGAATTAAATAAAAAAATTGAAAAATTAAGGCTGCAAGTGTAGGGCAGCTACAACTGAAAATTTCCCTGTATCGTTACCTGTGCGGTAATTTATAATTTAATATAACAAGAAGAAATAGAAAAATATTTCCAAGATAATTAAGGTATTGACACATTCAGACATTAACCGTGTGAACAGGGCCTAAACAATACAGGACGATACCCATAAGGGTGTGTACATGCATATCTCCCTTGTAGCCAAACAGGAAAAGGACAAAAAAGAAACGCAAAAAGGGGGAAAGGGGAAAAGAAAAAGAGGGAGGTGGAACGTGCAGCTTTCTTACCAGGTCTTTAAAATGAAAATGAAATAATGTTCATGCGATTGATCAAGCAAATCGATTTATAGCAGTAATATATTTTATGGTTTCTTACAGTAAATGCTTATTTGAAATGTCACTGTGTATTGCCATAAAGAAGTAGTGAAACCAAATCATTCTCAATTAAACTGCAAATATTTAAATCGTAAAACATGGATATGTCTGAGACTTTGTCAAGGAACGGGCCTCTGTGTGTTGAGTGTTCATGGCAGCGCAGCAAAAATGGCATGAAAGAGCAGCAAAATATAGGCAGTGTCTTCTACACCATCGTTAAACAGGCATATCGGGTCGGTTGTATCATTAAAATTATGCCTAAATTTAAGTTCTTTCAAATTACAAAGATCAACATTTCTTTGATTCTTACTATGATTCGTTGAGATAGACCTAGGCCATTTCACGTTTTAAGGATATCGATATTGAAAATGAAGCCTAGATTTTGATCTCCTATCTGATTACCTTCAATAATTCCTACTCCCTTAATTTACTTAGTACTTAGCTTAATTTTTTTGGTTTTCCAAATGAATACAAGTTCAAAAAGTCCTATCCAGTGCACATTTTTTAATCGCCAAGAAACTTTTATTTTCCCAAGGCTGGGGAAAGGAAAGTGACGATGTGAAAACGAGGTCTTTTGAGGCCCACTGCGGGCCTAAGGCCTAAACAATGATGGCGACTTGCCCAATATTCTATAATGTAAGTTTATTTATTTTGTAAATGTCAACTCGAACAATTCACCACAAGTTACTTTTGTTAAATAACTGAAAACTACTGCCAGACAATCCAATTCTGTTTTAGTCTTGTTCAAAGTTTTTTACCCTTGCTTTCTAAGATGCATCTCTCATTGTTGTTGTAAAATTGCATTGTTGGCATCTGCAATTTTTTCAACTGGCTGCTGTGGCGCTCGTTTGTGCACTATGTTTTTTGCATCTTTTCCGATCATATTTTATCTCCTCCGGACTGTGTAGCCAGTGCTTGCGTGTTTTTGAACAGGCCCCGTAATGTATTCAAAATTATACGAAGGCCAGAGATTAGAGTGTTTTGCCAGGTTTCCAATGATCGATGAATGGCGCACGTCCATACGCTGCTATTCGTTACAATCAAACGTATTAAACCCTTTCAGATTTCCTCTTTTCAGATGACACGAATCAACTGAATACTAAAATGTATCCTGTTGCTACCATTTCGTTTTCATTTTCATTTAGAAATTGATTTGCTTTCGGAACTTTTGTTTTTATCCTGTTCTATTGTTCACGAATTGATTTATTAAAGACTTTCATTATCCCGGATGTAATAACTTCTCACAGTCTGAATACAAATACAGAATATATTGTGCTTGAATTTCTTGTGATTCAGGAAGATGGCTTCCTTTATCATCAAAGAAGCAAATAATCTTCTTCCTATAACATGCATTTTGCTTTCACGTACGCTAAGAGGAATTCTATATATTTATACTTGTATTTTCGCCTAGATGTTATTTCAACTGGGCACTGCATCTTGTAGGGGGGTGATGAGGGGGGTGAGGGGGTTAGGTAGCTCTCTGGCCATTCACTGTGGATAAAATTAGCTTAATTTGCTTAAATCACACTAATTTCGCATATTTTCATTATTTTTATCCTTGCAAGTTTCCAAGTGCATTTATAGATACTTAGGTTACCCATGGCAGATAAGGTATAGATAAGTTCCTAGACACATTGTATGATTTTTCTATTTGTTTCTATTTGGCAAGTGGTAAAAAATCAAGGATCCTACCTTACTAATTTTACGCGGAGGGCCAACACGTCTCAGCTGAATTGATTCTCCAGAGCTGCAGACGCTTTTCAGAACAAATTACAGTATTGTTTATCTACCTGCTTGTTTCTATTCACTTGAAGTAGCTGATTGTTGAAATAAAACAATTTAAAGTTTACCGGGCTATTGATATTTCACTTAATGTACACTCTCATTTTTAATAAGAACCAGTAAATTAAATTCAGACTGACTAATCTTAATTTTTTCTGAGGCTGGATTGTTCTTAATTTGTTCGTAAATTACTAGGGTGTAATCAATGCGAGTGCTAGCTTTTTCGCTCTAGGGAGGTGTTCAGGCCTCATTTGCCAACAAAGTGAGTGAGACAACCTTCATTTGCCGACAAGTTTGAATATTCTCCGAAAAAGCACCCACACATGGCTAAAAATCTTCGTTTTTGAGATAAAATGTTGTTCAAAACTGCATTTTATAGTAGCTCAGTTTCAGCTTGTTCTTAATTTGTTCTTTACTTTCGACTAATTTTGAGGCTCGTGTTTTTGTAATATTGTTTTTATAATAAAAGAGTGTATTGCGAAATTCATCTAATCCAGGAAAACATCCCAGTTTTGCAGACTTACCATTGAGCAAGAAGTATCATTGTGGTATGAATAGGAACAACGAGTGATTTGAATAAAAAACAACT